AAGAGAGGGAGGGTAAGTGCTGGGGAGCGATATTGGCCAATATATATCATTCTATTGTGTCCACGTGCACAGATGGGCGGAGAAATCCCATCAATATGCAATATGTAATGCACCAATTAAAAAATGTAGAAAGAAAAAAATTCTACCCGTACCAAAAAAAAAAAAAAAAGCGGGGGGGCTGAGGATATAGCTCACTGGCAAAGTACACCTGTGTTCAAGCCCCAGCTCCAAAGTCATAACAACAACAATAAAGTTGTTTGCAGACCAATACAGGGTTCTGGCAATCAGTCCACAAGCCCACCTGCATAATGTAATTTTCTGTAATTCATCTTAGAGTCCCCCCTTGATGCTCCACTCGGCCGAGGCAACAGGTAACAAGTGCAGCTTCAAAGGCCCCAAGATTGGGCCACAAAATCCCAGAATATTTAGCAGGACCGAATATGGGGGCGCGCTGGGGAGAGGGCGAGTTGGCAGTATCTCAATGGTCCCTTTGGTGCTGCAGTTGGCACCACATCTGCTCTGGGCTTGAGAAGGGGGAGTGTTTTGTGAGCCCCTTACAGTCCCAACCAGCTGGTAGGCTAGAGAGCCTTTCCTCAGTGGGAGTAGCAGTGCATAATCCCAGCAGCTCAGGAGGCTGAGACAGGAGGATCAAGAGTTCAAGGCCAGCCTCAGCAATTTATTGAGGCCCTCAGGAACTCAGCAAGACCCTGTCTCTAAATAAAAAAACAGGAAACACATAAACCAGCGTTTCTACTCTTAGGGATGCTACATGCATCCCTTGGGGCAATGAGCACAGAAAAATAGGAAAAGGTAGGAAAGAATAAAACAGATTAAAACAGAAATATATTGCATGGCTAAGCGCAGTAGTACACCCCTGTAATCCCAGTGGCTTGGGAGGCTGAGGCAGGAGGATTGCAAGTTTGAGGCCAGCCTCAGCAATGTAGTGAGAACCTGTCTCAAAAATAAAGAACAAAAAAGGGCTGAGGATATGGCCCAGCAGTAAAGGGCCCCTGAGCTCAATCCCCAGTACCACAAAATTAAAAAAAAAAAAAAAAGAAATACATGTGTGTTCTGAGCAGATCATGCTGGTTAAGGAGGGGGGAGGTCACTGGAGAGGCCAAGATGCACACGTCCAGCCAAGAGGCAACAGTACAGGGGAGAGAAATCAGAGCCATCTGGAAACAGAACGAGGTGGGGACTGGGTTAGGGAAGGTGGGGAAGGAAGAAGCATCAAGAGTGGCCTGAGGGCCGGCCTGAGGACATAGGAAGGCTTCACCTTGTACTTGGTACACTGGCTTCAGGAACACTCTCTTCCTCTGAAACCCCTCCACCTGGCCAGCTCCTACTCAGCCTTCGGATCTTCATTCATTCAAGCGTCTCTATGCAGAGCTTCCTTGCCTGCCCCAGGGCCAGGTCTGGCTCCTTGGAGGCCCTCAGTGTGCCAAGGAATGTCCCCAGGATCTGTTGGGTCTGAGTTGATGGGGGCTCACTCGCATCCCCAGTGCTCAGCACTTAGTAGCTGCTCAACAAAGGCTCCAAAACACAGGCAGAAGAGACAGGACTATATCCTGCAGGCTGGCCTTTCACAAGGAGAATGTGGTTGCTGGGTTTCCAAAGACAGACACCCCCCATGTTCCTCTCATGTTCACTCCCAAAGGGAACGCGTTGTCACTCTGACTGTATAAGATTCTGTGTGTGTGTGTGTGTGTGTGATCATTTGCACACAAGTCTGGAGGCAGAAAACAAAGTTGACACAGTTTGCTGTTAGCAGGGGCCCATCCCGATGCCAGGGGATGAAAGCAAGAGATGAATACATTGGCCTGGGAGCACAGAAGGTAGAGGGTGGGGCACAGAGATGCCCTTGACACCAGAGCAGCAGATGGTAAGTGCAGTCCTCACCTTCTGTGGGCCTCCCTACTCTTTTTTTTTTTTGCACTGAGCCTTGAACCCAGGTCCTGGTGCATGCTAAGTAAATGCCCTGCCACTGAGCTACACCCCAGCCACCGAGCCTGCTCTGAGGAAAACAAATGCTCCCACAACCCACTGCTGTGTGGCTCATTCATTTACTTGTCTAGGAAGGTGCCTGGCCTTTGTGGAAGCTCAATTCTCTACCCACTGTGGCAGGAAGGAGAGAACCTTCTCCAAGTGCTCAGTGAGTCGTGGGAGAGGCCAGTCAGGTAACCAAGCCTCAGGGATTACCATTCCCGCTGGGAAAAGCTGCTGTGCGGATTAAAGCAGATAATGTATAGGAAAGTCCAGGCAGTTTAATAAACTCGGGTTCAGAATCTGGGAAGAGAGAAGCCGGGCTGACGGGGGGGGGGGGGGGGGGGAGGACAGGAGGCGGCGCTGAGTGGATTGACACAGATGGGTCCCTGGAAAGAGCCCCACCTGGAAACCTCAAGGGGCCTGGGGGAACCCCCATGGGCCACAGCACCGTGGACACCCCTGCCCCACCCAGCCGGCTGGCAGGAATTTGCCCTGGTGACCTCCCCCAGGCACACTCCTGTCACTATGGAGACAGGCTGTGGAACAAGCGGCTTGATTGTCCCTGCTCAGCGGGGCAGGTGAAACCCTGGCCACGTGACCGATACTGGGCCAGGTGCGGTTATGGAACACAAGCCACCTCCCACCTTAACCCATTCAACACCGCCACCACCACCAGTGCAGTGTCCCTGCTGCTTCAAGCCACACCCCTTTGGCCCTTGGTCCCCAACCACAATGGCAGTGACGAAATACAGCAGCATTGCACTAGGGTCAGTGGAGGGCAGATTCCAGGAAGGAATCCGGACTGGGCCACCCACTGGCTGAGTGACCCACTGGCTGGGTGACATGGAGCTGGGTCAGTTTGCCTCCTCCCTTTCCTTGGGGGAATGGATGCCCCAGGAAGGCTGGGATCACCAGGAACAAGCATGTGAAAATGTACTCTCTACCCCACTGGCCTGACACTCCCGCCTGAGAGAGGGAGACCCTCACCAACCCACAGCGGGCCTGCAATAAACTGGGGAGGGTGGGTGGGCAGCCATGGGCCTTCCTCAACAGCAGCGGGTCCTTTACAGGCAGCTGCCACCCGCCCACCACTTTCTCTGGAATGTTCACACGGAAACCTCAAACCGACAGGTTTTTCTGCTTACCAGGCCCAACCTTGACCAGCTGGGTGACAGGGCTGGGCTGGGGGCTAGGGACTGAGTACAGGCCTCAAGGCAGAGGTGCCCCCAACTCCCAGCTCTTTGGCTCCAGAGCGAGAGGTCAAAGGTCATGGGACAGGCTCAGGTTACAAGGCTAGACAGTAGGGAGGGGGTAGTGTTTGAAAACACCTTTGAAATACTACCTTTCTGAATAAGTAGCCTCCATTTCCTGCTTCCCCAGCTCTAGAAAAGCACCCTTGGATGACCCCTCCCAGGCCAAGACCAGCCCCATCCAGGGCTCAGGTGTCCCCATCACACCCCTAATAAACTAAGCTGGCAGCAAAAGAGCACACCACCTGGTGTTCTAGAGTCCCCAGTGACCCCAGGGCCCTCCTCAGATTAGAACAGAACACCTGCTGAGAGCCCCAGGCAAGGAGAGGGCACCTGGGAGTGAGAACACAATTTACTTCCCAAAGGAGGTGGGGGGAGCGCAGGTGTGTCACTGGGGGCCCACGGGTCATGGTCTGGAGGGAGCAATGGCCTGGCTACCTACTGAAGCTCTGCGTAAGCACTTGCAGGTGCTCTTGAACCCCTTGATGATCATTCAGCAAAATTACTATTACACCTTGGACACAGGAAACTGGCCTAGGGCAGACACAGGAAAGGCCAGCTCTAGAGAACTGTGCAGGAGTTTGACAAATGCTTTGAGGACACGGGGTAGAAAAGATTCATCTCAACTCAGGAAATCTGGGAAGAACTGAGAGGAGGTGGCAGTTATCCTGGGCCCTGAAAGATGGGCAGGATTCTGGAAGGCCAACATAGCCCCAGAAAAGGGAATGCGGGAAGGATCTCACTGGGGGAGCCTGAGAGTGCTTTGATTTAAACTCCTAACTTTAAGGACAGAGAGTCCCTGAAGGCTTCTAAGCAGAAGGACCCCTTGATGACACCAACTGGGAAAGAAAAAAATCAAAAGCAGCTACTCTTGAAAGTGTTAAAGGATGGACTGCAGGGGAGGCCAGCTGAGACCTGAAGCAACCTAGCCCAAAAAGTGGTTTCCATGCAAGATGAGCTAAGTTCTGAGGGTGGAAAGATGAGGATTGCCTGTTACTCTGCTGCTAAATGGCAGGGTGCCGATCTGTCCAGCAAATGATCGCAATAGTGCAAACATCTGGCTGGGATTTGACCCTAGTCTCGGCCCTGACTCGCATCAGGAAAGGGACCAGACCGAAATTCTGGTTGTTTCTTGCACAAATCTTTTACCCTCTCTGCACTTCAATTTTCTGTGAAAAGCCCATAGGGGTTGAAGGTGATCTCTAGAGCTCCTCCTAGCTCTTTCTAGAGGGGACTTCAGGACGCATAAAGTGCTCCCGTACCGTCGAACCCCAGCTGTGGAGCATGGCGCCACCAAGCTGGCGCCCGGACGACAGAAGCCACTCCTGGCGCCTCTCACCCCCGCGCCGGCGGCATAGAAAGAATGGCACCCACCCAGTGCGGTGCGTGAGGACAGATGAAGAAGCCAGGTGGGGGCTGGGCGCCGGCCAAGGCAGAGCCTCTCGGGCTTGCCAAGGATCCGCCCCGAGGCCGCGCAAGCTCGCGCTCTGAACTGGGGCGGTGTGCAGCGGAGCAGACCGGATTCCCAGATCGCTGTGCCACCTGCGTAGAGCAGCGCACGACGGGGCGGGGAGGGGCGGAGCCAGAGTCTCGGATGGCTCCGCCCAGGGCGTGGCCAGGGGCACGGCCGAGCGCAGCCTGCCGAGATTACGTAGAGACGCACGGAGCGGGGCCAGGGGGCGGACTGGTCTCTGGGATTACGTAAGGGGACACAACCAGGGGGCGGGGACTCGATGGACTCTTTGCGGGCTAGGAGAGGGGCGGGGCTCCAGACAGAAATGGGCAGGGCTCCGTGCGAAGGCGGGAGGCGGAGCGTGGGCAGGCCGTCCCCTGCGAGGTGCGTGCCGGGTAGTAGCCGGCATGCTCTGCTGGGCCCGATCCTGCAGGCTTCCCCGTGGGGCGCTCGGTCCCTCCACTCCCAGCTTCTCGAGGGTGCCCGTCATACGCAGCAGCAGCAACGGCCAAAGGGAGGGCAAGCGGAGGTCAGTCAAGGGCACTGGGAAGTGGTGCCCTCTGCTCCTCCTCCCGCCCAGCCCCGATGGCCTTAACGGCCCCTCCTCCCCTTGGGCCCACCCCCTCCCCCGTCTCTCCTTCGGCAACCCTCCCCCTCTCCCAACTCAGACCCTCCCCCCATCGTCCCCGCAGGCCGCTACCGCTGTCCTACAGGCTTCTGGACGGGGAGACGACCCTCCCGGCTATAGTCCTTCTGCATGGGCTTTTCGGCAGCAAAACCAACTTCAACTCCATTGCCAAGGCTTTGGCCCAGCAGACAGGCCGGAGGGTGAGCTTCCGGGTGGGGCGGGGCTTAGGGGCGGGGCCTAGGAGTGGGGCGGGGCCAGTCCCTAACCCTCACTTTGGGGGCCCTGGTTGAGGAGTGGCAGTTTTCTGGACATTGTAACCCTGAAGCAGAAATGGAAGAAGTCCTTCCAAGGATGAGTTCGCTGTTCCGGCGAACCCAGGCCTTGGAGGGACTCCCCATTCCTATTCCCTCATGCTGCCACTTGTCCATCCTTCGTTCATGTTTTAGATCTCCACTGGCCTGCTCCACACTGAGCTAAGACCAACACCCTCCCTTTGAAAGTCCCTGCTTGTTCACCAGGGACGGCAGGGAGCTCACCACCTCTTAACGTTCCTCTGTTGGAAATTCTTGGAGTCTCCTTCTGGACTTATTCCGGGGCTACACCTAGCCAGCCCATTCCTTCAGAGACGTGGTCACACCCCTTGGGCCTTCTCTTTTCTTGCAGAGCATCCCCAGTTCTCCATCTGGACCTCTTGGGTCTGGGCACTGGGCACTCTCACAATCTGAGCCCTTCCCCCTCCTCAAGGTCTGTCCCCAGACTCGCCCACCTTGATCTGCAGTCCCTATTGGGATACCTGTGCTGCTCCATCTCCCCAGGTGCTGACAGTAGATGCTCGGAACCATGGTGACAGCCCCCACAGCCCAGATGTGAGCTATGAGGCCATGTGCCAGGACCTGCAGAGCCTCCTGCCCCAGCTGGACCTGGCACCTTGTGCCCTCATTGGCCACAGTATGGGAGGAAAGACAGCCATGCTGCTGGCGCTCCAGAGGGTGAGCCGCCCCTGTCTGGGGCTACCTCCCTCCAATTTAGACCTTAGATGCCCAGCAGGTGACCTGGGACTCATAAGCCTTAGAGGGCCAAGTTTGGGCTCCAGGAACTGGGCCTGCTCTGAGACTGGTCCCCAGTCCAATTATCTCCCACAGCCAGAGCTGGTAGAACGGCTGATTGCAGTGGACATCAGCCCAGTGAAGACCACAGGCACCTCAAAGTTTGCGACCTACGTGGCTGCCATGAAGTCCATAGACATCCCAGATAAGATGCCCCGCTCCCAGGCTCGAAAATTGGCCGATAAGCAACTCAGCCATGCCGTCCAGGTAATGCACCCAAGCTCCCTGATGGTACTGAGACTAGGATCTGTCAAGGGCAGAGTGGTGGCCTCACAGGGAGCCACCCACCTGCACTCAACTTTAGACCCCCACAGGACATGGCCATGCGGCAGTTCCTGCTCACCAACCTGGTGGAGGTAGATGGGCACTTCCAATGGAGAGTGAACTTGGATGCCCTGGCTGAGCACTTGGATGAGATTATGAACTTCCCACCACAACAGGAACCCTATTCTGGGCCAACTCTCTTCCTCCTTGGTGGAAGTTCCCATTATGTGTGGTAAGCCAGCCCCAGCTACAGGAGGGCCACACCTTACTCCCTTAGCCCCCCAGCCTGGGGAGGACTGGGGTGTGGGCACAGGGTACCTGAGAGCCTGGAAACCACTGGGCATGTGGACTCAGGTGGCTCTCCCTCTCTCCCCACCCTACCCCTGCTTGTCCCTTTCTGTCCCCATTTACTCCTTCTCAATGGCTGCCTCTGTGATGCCCAGTCCCAGTCACCACCCTGAGATTAGACGACTCTTTCCTGGCGCCCGGATACAGACAGTGCCTAACGCCAACCACTGGGTTCATGCTGACCGCCCCCAGGACTTCATGGCTGCTGTCCAAAGCTTCTTGGTCTAAGAGGTGCTGCCTGCAAGAGGAGCAGGAGGTCCCAGGCTTCGTGTCCTTGCAGCCTGTTCATGTTGCCACACAGGACTCGGGCGCGTACTGAGAGGGCACGGGGGTGTGCAGTGGCGAGGCCTCCAGGTTTAATGAATAAAGACAATTCCCCAAAATCCTCCGACGAGTTCTCACCACCAGCGCCCCAGTCGGGCCCAGGGGCTCCTGGGAGCACCAGGGACCCCATGGGCACCCTGAGCGTCCCTGGCTTCTCTCTGCAGCTGACTCTGGACCTGCTGCCTCACCAGCTGCTGCATGTCCTCCTGGGGCAGGAGAGCAGGTTCAGGGCTGGTGCTGGACTGGCTCCCCACACCGCCCAGGCCCAGCTGGTATCCCCAACCTACCTCCCAGGCTTCCACCTCCTGCCTCAGCCTCAGTTTCTCCTCCAGGACCTCCAGCAGCTGGGCCTCCACCGCACGCAGCCTGGCCTTGCATGTGTCCAACTCGGCCTCCACTGCCCGCTTCCTGCAGGTCGCAGGGACCGCAGCCTGAGGCTCTGGGCCCTGGCGGTGGGCAAATGTGACCACAGCCCCAGCCTTAGCCACACTGTGGGTGTTCTAGTGGCTTTTCTCCAGGATCGCCTGACTCCCCCGCCCCCCCCCCCCAAGCAGAGGCTTGAGGATGGCCCTGTCCCTGCCCACTCAGCAGGGGCCCTGAGTGTGGCCCTCTCCCCACCCACCCCAGTCCCCACAGCTGTCCTCACTTGGCGATGGCTTCATCCCGCTCCTGCAGGACCTGGTCCAGAGAAGGCTCTGTCTGGATGGCCCCCAGTGCTCCAGCCGCTGGAGATTCTGGGCTCTGTTGTAGGGGACAGAGGAGGGGACTGTGATCTGGGGCTCCGCTAAATGAGGTGTCCCACCCTGGAATTTTCTGCCCTGGCCTTGACCCTGATGCTGGTGTCAGGAGGGGAGGAAGCTGAGGTGCCCTGTACCGGCTTCAAGCACCCTGGCCTGTGGCTGCTGGGAAGTAGAGCACAGACCCGAGAGGGCGGCAGGTGACACTGCTGCTTGGTCTCAGGGCAGCAGAATGGGCAGGGTGTTTGAGCCCCCAGAGACAGGAGTCCTCACCCCCTCCTCAGGAAAGGAGAAGGTAAGTGGGTTCAGGACACTTACCCCTTGAGAGCCCTGGACAGAAAGAGTGGCCGGGTGACGGGGACTCTTGTCTGCAGGGTGGGGCAAGGAAAGGACATGGCCCTTGCCCTCCCTTCCAGGCAAGGCACTCCCTGGCAGGCGGGACCCAGTGGGCAGGCCCCAGCAGGCAGGCCCAGGACAAGGAGCATAGGGCCCCTCCCTCCTGTCCTGCATCCTGCCCAGTGGCCTGTGCCAGTGCCTTCCTGCCCAGTCACAGGCCTCCCTTCTACTGCCTCTTGTGATGACAGGGTCAGCAAGATGCTGCAGCCCCTCCCCACCCCCATGAAGGGCCTGTCACCTTGATACCTGGAATGGCATCGTCCCCACACAGCTCTGATCTCACCTCACAGGAAATAAGGAAAAAAGTTTATTTGTGGCAGACTTCTCCAGACTAACAATCCCTTGATATATTGCTGAGGCTGACTGTGGATTTGCGATCCTCCTGCCTCGGCCTCCTGAGTCCATGGGATTTCAGATAGCACCCAGCCCTCTAGACAACTTGACTGTCCCTCCTCCCTCCATGGCAGGCAGCAACTGCATTGCTACACTCTAGAGAGCAGGTCTCAGGACCCCATATCACCTACAGTGACAGTCTGTCTCCATGGGCACATTGAGTGACAAAACTCATAAGGAGACTCATCCCCACTGAGAGGCCTTTGCAGTAAGATTGTGTCTTGGGGGTTGTGTTTCCAACTCAGCCTAAGCAGTAAATGCTTCCTCTAAGACCCTCTGTGACTCCTGATCTCTGGTCCTGCCCAGTGAGGGTTGCTTCAATGGCCAGTCTCAGTGATTTTTGTGACTGTACCCCAGGTCAAGAGGTGGGCTTGGCCTGTACCCTGAGTATGGCTCTGCCATGAGCAGACAGGCCCTGCTCCCAGGGTGCTCCAGGGCTAGGAAGGATGAAGCTCGGGCACGGTGGTAAGAGGGTGGCAGTGGTCCCCAGGTGGGAGCACAGAGACGGCCCCTCAGACCCATCAGCCACAGGGATTCTTGAGGTGTTTGTCCAAGGTGAATCTTGCAGGCTGTCTGTCAGAGCCAGGACAAGGGCTAACACTCGATAACATTTAAACTTTTTATTTTGAAACAGTGTCAAATTGCTGTTTGATGTTAAAAAAAAAAGCTTTTGCAGTTAAATATTCTATTATGGTATCAAACATTATGCCTGATTGTACATCTTGCTGGTCTCCCTCAATCAAGAACAATTTGCAGCCTTTGAGTTTCATGACCTTGACATTTTTGTAGTTTACAGGGAAGTTATTTTGTAGATAGTCCTTCATTGGTCTTGCTCCGATCCTCCCTCTGATTGGACCACTGTTGTGCGTTTAATGAATGCTGCGTTCTATCCAACGTCGACTGGAAACATGACTGGGGGTGTTAATGTGGGCCAGTTGATTAAGAAGCATAAAAAGGTGGCTCACGCCTGAAATCCCAGTGGCTTGGAAAGTTGAGGCCGGAGGATTGTGAGTTCAAAGCAAGTCTCAGCTACTCAGTGAGACCCTGTCTTTAAATAAAGTATATAAAAAAAGGGTGGGGAATGTGGCTCAGTGGTTAAGTGTCCCTGGGTTCAATCCCTAGTACCAAAAAAAACAAGCTGGGCATGGTGGCACATGCCTATGATCTCAGAGGCTCAGGAGGCTGAGGCAGAAGGATCACAAGTTTGAGGTCAGCCTCTGCAACTTAGTGAGGCCTGAAGCAACTTAGCAAGACGCTGTCTCAAAATAAAATATAAAAAGGGCCGGGGACGTGGCTCAGTGTTTAAGCACCCCCTGAGTTCAGTCCCTTGTACCAAAAACAGACAGAAAGAAATGAACAAGTACATATATTATAAGAACTGCTATGGAGAAAAAGTTGACGGAGAGGGAAGGAATGGGAAAGGACCATTTTACATAATTACGCAGTTACCCTAAGGACATCCCAAATATTCACATACCTAAATGTAAAACAGCCACCTTGATCATGCTCGGGATTTGGGATCTCATTATCAGTGAGTGACGGCATCAATGATGGGTTCAAAAGCGCTGTGTTTCCAAGCAAAAATGACAATGATGGGTTTGAGACAATTGTCAAGGGTCCCGGAGGAGGCGCTTGGGATGAGACATGATTCTTTCAATGTCAAGGGGAGGCAGAAATTCAAGGGAAGGGTTTGAAAAAATCTTTCACAAACCAGGAGAGTGGGAAAGCTTTGTTTCCACATAAAATTCTCCTTTGAAATATAGGACTTTAAATATTTAAATTTTCAATATTTTAACCACTCATCCTAAGTAGGGATTCAATTATTCATCTCCATCTCTAAACGTTTAAATTAAAATATGAGGCCAATTCTCTTTTAATCTCCTCATTAGGAAAAGGAAGAGAGAGATTTATATTCAGGCATAGAGCGAATTTCATCCCAAAGTGCTGTCTCAACTGCCTGCATCCCCCGAGTCCTGCTCCCCATAATGGCTTGGCCAGGGCCTCGGGTGGAGGCAGATGGTGGCTCTGGACTAATGGTGGACAGGGGCCGGGGAGAACAAAAGTGGCAGTCAGCTGCCTCTCGGACAGGGGACTGGAAGTCTGTGCTCAAAACAGCTGGGATTTGCTGGGCTGGTGGTTTATAAACGCTGTCACCTGACCCTTCACATCCTTGTCTGTGGGTGCCTCCCTGAACCTCATTGTCTTCATCTGTAAAATGGGTCTAGTAGGGTGGCCTCCCTGAGAGGGTCACAGTAATGGCTAAATAAGACCCCACACTGTGACCAGTGCTTTGTACCATAAATGAGTCAGGACCAGGAAAGGAGCCCAAGAGAATAGACCTGCAGGACCCAAGAAAGCAGCAACAGCACAACCTTAACATCAACAGCAACCCCCCGCCCCACACACACACACATACATGCACGCACACGCATGCAAACACCAGCCACGAAGGGTCAGTTGCCCTTCCTGTTCTCCTCACGACTTTGCCCCAGAAATGTCTGTTCCTGAATCTTTCACAAAAGTTTCCTGCTCCAGACCTCCAGTCCCTGTACTTCCCCAGCACTGGCTTGTCATTGTCACAGCGTTTTCTCCCATCAGCCGGAGGGCTTCTGGATGAGGTGGTGACCTCATCCCAGCCCCAGCACACAGGTGCAAAGCAGGAGCCGCGGGGAGGAGGCAACACCGGCCTTGTCCAGCAGGTGGCAGCAGCCCCCAACATCAGGATCCCAACAGCCTTGGGCTCACCCAGGCCCAAGCCCGGGATGGAAACTTCAAACTGCGCCCAGGGCCTTGGAGAGCCCCCAAAGTCCCAGCCAGGGCTCCTTTATGGGAACACTGCTCATTCAAATGTGCGAATTTTTAACAATACATGTGCAAACTCTGGGAATCAGTGAAATATGACCAGGTTCCTGCCCTTCAGTTCCTGAGTCTAAGGAAGGGACAGACACTGTCCGTGCCTGACAGTTAATGCTGTCATTAGGTCTTCATGGGACATGCAGAAGGAGCCCAAACTCATCCTCCTGCTCTCACAGAGGAATGATTGGAGGAGGTGATGTCTAGGGGGAAGGGCTAGGGGTCACAGCCACATGCATGGGGGAGGAAGGACACAGGCTTGGGACACTGACATTGCAGAAACCAAGAGGATGCATGCCATGGGTTGTAGGGACTGCAGTGGGTGGGCACTGCACGCAACTGCTCATGGTGGTAAGGCTGGGCCAGGCCACAGAGGACATGGCAAGTCACGTTGACATACCAGGACCTCCTATTGCCCAGGCAATAAGGAAAGCTCACTGCCCAGAACAAATGGGCGTGGACAGCCAGGAGTGGTGGTGCATACTGGGAACCCCGTGACTCAGGGGTCCGAGGCAGATGATGATGAAGAGCATGGGCAACTGAGAGAGACCGTGCCTCAAAATAAAAAATTGTTGGAAGGCGGAGGGTGAAGCTCACTTCCACCCCAGTTCCACACACACAAGTGGGAGGCAGAAACAGAAGCCGGTATTGGGGCTTACAGCTGCCCCCTTCACTGCAGTGGGAACAGGACATCGAAGAACAGACGGGGGGGGGGGGACGGGGGCGTGGCATGGGGACTAGTCCCCAGGGGGAATGAGCCCCCCTCTCACAATCCCTGCCTTGGTTACCCCCTGGAGTACCCTTCCCCATCCCCCACCCAGCCACTTCCAGTCCAAATACCCCCACCCCCGCTCCACGGAGTGCCCCAGATTCCAGGAGGTCAGCTGCCCTGGGGGACCCATGGCATCTTCCACACAGGGTCTAACTCAGCCCAGGCCCTTTTTCTGGCTCTTCTGTCTCCATCCATCCATTGTCAGGAAACATTCCAGGTGGAGCATTCTTACACACACACACACACACATACACGCACAAACACGCACACGTGAACACACGCACACACGCACTCCCTGGACAGTGGCCTATAACTTCCACTTCCACCTGAGCAAGACTATTCCTGACTCCGAGCCTCCAGCCCCTGCTGGGACCCCACATGGGCCATCCGGGCGACCCCCCTGCACGTGGAAGCAGACCCCTCGAACACCAGATGTCCCAGTCTGAAGTCACCTCCTTCCCATTCATTGCAGAGGCTAATCCTGTTGGCGCCACCTTTCCCAGGTACCCAGAATATGACCGTTTCTCACCACTACCACCTCCATGGCCCTGGGCCAGCACTGTCACCTCGAGCCTAGGGGGTGCCCCTGCTTCTGCCTCAACCCCCATCTGTCCCTTTTCAACCCAGAGCCAGGCTGTTAAAGTCAAGAAAGGGTTACATCCCTCCACTCCTTATGGGCTTGTCCTTGCCCCCTGTAGTCCAGCGAGGACCAGGCCTCCTGGCTTCCTGGTCCTTACCCAGGTATGCCAGGCAAGCTCAGTCCTCATGCGAGCTGTTCCCTCCACCCAAAGTGCTCCTCCCTACATGGCTCACTCCTACCTCCTTCTCAATTTCCGCACACGCCACCTCCTCAGCAAGGGCCTACCTGACCATCGAATTTAAAATCCCCCCCCAGCCCCAGCAGTCTCTACTCCTTATTTCCTACTTTATCTTCCCTATAGCACATTATCGTCACCGTGATGTTATAGACCAAGGACTCCACGAGGGCAAGGACTATTTGTCTGGCTTGTTTTCT